GAGTTCGGTACCCATTCAGAGAGCCCGGGTCATAGGGAGGATTTAAAACAAAATCTAATTAATCAATGAAGCGTACGCATCATATACATAATAATCAAGTCAATGTGGCCTACCTGGGGATGAAAATAATGGGCCAAGAGCAGGAAGAGGTGGCGGAAGGGCGGAAGGCGGAGGCGCGGAGCGGTGGACAAGAAAGTTGAATTTAAGGTTGAGGAGATGAGTGTAGGGTTTATGGTTTATATAGGAATGTTATGTTGGGAGTCAGATAACTTTGTGCGAGTCTCGGCTGCCAATGGCGCCAGGCTAATAGGGCCGGTTTTAGTGAAGAATTTATGGAAAATGGCAGAAAAAGGTTGGAATGTATGAGAATGCCCTCCTAGATCTAACAGAGATTCGCGTGACTACTTGCGTAAAATGAGGGGAAATGACAGAAAGGCCCTTCCAACCAAGAAACAAAACGTCACTATTTATTACCGTTACTTCAAAAATTAAACGGAAATATTAAAATTAACTACCAGCCGTTAGGTTGCCTTCGAAGCGTCACGATGATTTTTGGAAAGGCCAAACGGCGTCGTTTGAAGCGCCAACCCCTCCTTAATCCCCCGACCAGTCTTCGGAAACGATACGCCTTCATTAATCGAAACTCTTCTGCTCTTCGTTCTCCATTGCATACCGTCGTCGGATACCTTCAAGAACTACCACACATGTGTTTGTCATGGAGAACACCGGAGCAAGTAGCAGGTTCCAGTACAAGAGAAGAAGAATTCTAACCCAAACACGAAGGGAGGAGATGGAGAATGAAAACCAGGTATTTTCAAATAATCCCCACTTAAAATTAACTAATTTTGGTTTTATTTTGAAATATTTGGGATTGGTGTAAGATTTCTACTGAGGTAACTCCATCTGTGGAGGGTCAATCGTTCCTGGATGCTTCAGAAATTGAGGTGCATTGCATGTACACTAAAATATAACATTTAAAGTTTATTTTGTTTGTTTTTGAAACATTCGGAAACAGAACAAGTTATTCGACCATGAAAATAATCAATATAATGTTACAGTAATTGGTTACAGTCGAATGCAGTCGAATCTATTTTTTGATTAGTTCTTGATTTTAATTCTAGGTTCCAGCGTTGGATTGCACCATTGATATTGATAAAATACCTGGAATGAAGTTAACCCTGAAATCTTCTTTGGGGGAGTTCCAGAATCTGATGGGCGAAGGACTTGGAGATCATCCAGAAGTCCTTGATTTGTTTAGGGAGAACACCCCTTTTTCTCATTTTTTGGATATTGAGTGTATTCCTCCTCCTCTGTTCCTATTGCAACTCATTGCGAGGGAAGCCAAAATAAAGAGGAAAGGAGAGATGTGGTTCGTTTTCAAAGGAGCTCCTCTCAGGTACTCCTTGAGGGAGTTTTCACTCATTAGCGGCCTCAACTGCTCTCACCTTAATGCCGGCTTTGAAAATTCTAAGGAATTAACCTCTGCAAAGAATGATTTCATTCGAGCTCACTTTCCTTCTGCAAAGAAGGGAAAGAAATCTACTGCAGTCACATACAAGATGGTTGTGCAGCGTTTCTTGGACATTTGTAAAGGATTGGACAGGGAAAAGAAGAAAGAAGGCCAGGAGATGGATGCTGTGAAAATGGCAACACTATTGTTTGTTGTTGTTGTTCTCTTGGGTCCTGCTGATCGAGACAAGTCTGCAATTCCAGATTGGATTCTGGGCATGATTGCACAGTGGACAGTAGTTTTAGGTTTCCCATGGGGAACCTAGGCATTTATGGAGTCCTTGGGGTCACTGAAGAAAGACCTAGCTGCTAAGGCCAAATCAATTGGAAGAGGGGCCTCATCAACCATGTACTATACTGGTTTCTTGCTTCCCATTGGGGTAAGGATTTTTTCAATTATAATATTTCTTATAATTTTTATTGAAATGTGATCTCATTGAAACTTTCAATATGAAAAGATCCTTTTTCTGGAGAGTTGCTTGGGAACTGGAACAAATATTACAACAAGAAGCCCACGGACATCCCCAGCTAGGCCAAGAATCTGCCTTTGGGGTGAGATTCCAATAAAGAAGAAAATCACCCACACAGAAATGGATGCTTACGTTGGGGACGTGCAGGTATATACATATTATTGGTCAATAAAAGATTAAAAATTTAAGGAATTCCAAAAATAAAGTGTCATTGTTTTGGTTACAGACTCTACAGAGCATTCTTGTTCCCGACAAGTTTGAGGCAACTGTAGAGTGGTATTTGAACTTCCATCCTCTAGAGACCACAGCACACCCTGAGTTGGATGCATTTGTGGCAAAATTAGAGGGTAGAGGGGAAGTCCACATTCCGGTGGAGAGGAAGGGAAAAGCCCGGAATGTCCCTTCACCAACAAGAGATAATTCTGAAGAGCGTAATGATCACATCTCCTCTCCCCAAGAATCTCAGAGGAGTCAGAGCCTTAGGGAATCTCCTTCTAGAGTCTCCCATTCCAACATCCCAAATCCATCGTCTCCTACCCCTCACCCCGCCAAGCCTTCATCTAATTCCTTTCAAGAACTCTTTGATCGAATGTCAAAGAAAATTGATAACATTGCAGAAGAACAAAGAAAGAGGTTTGAAGTGCTTGAAAAAAAGTTGATGCTTTGTCAACTTTAATAAATCAAAAGATTGTGAATAAGGTATGATGAAGCTTTTGAAAGTCATCCAATAATTTTAATTGATCACAACTGATCTATTCTTATGTAAAAATATGAATGTGAATGTAACTGAATCAGGAGAAGAACCAACCAAGAATCCGTTGGAGGTACGTCGAATACCGTCGAATACATACGAAGCAATCGAATGTATACAAAATGTTCGAATATCTCGAATGCAGTCGAAACGTTTTGTTCAGTTTTAAATCTGTAAGATCTGTTAACGTTCAGGTGCCAGAGACGACAATCATGGATGATTGTGAAGAGACTGAGGCACGCAATCCTTCCCCTGATCATAAGGTTTAGGGTTTAATGGAGTCATTCCATTTTGTTTGCATATTTTAAATGAAATAATAAAATCATTTCATACTTCTTTCTCATCATTTTCATACTTCATACTCTATAGGTTTCTCCAAGACTTGGTATTCTCCAAATTGTTGGGGAAATAAATCAAGAGCATGAGAATCAACCTTCAACTCTTTCTGATTCTGTTCTTAGTTTGGAGAACAGGAAGGTAAAGTTCTAATCTTAACTTACAATGCATTGTCCTTTCGAAAATAGATTCATATTTTTGTTCTTGTCTGCAGGCTGAGTCTACCCACGAGACAATGGGAACAGAAGATGCTGTCTCAATGAAGCCTCTACAGGAAATGGTAAAATTATAAATCTTATTACAAGTTCCTTCGAATTAGAGTCGAAGTTTTCAAATGTATTCGAATTATCTGTAGGTTGAGTTTAGCCATGAGGTAATGGAAACAGACGCTGCTGCTTCTATGAAACCTCTGCAGGAAGAGGTAAAAATCTAAATTTCATGCATTCGAAATGCAGTCAATATCTTCAAAGTATTCAGAACAAGTTTATTTTCACTCTATTTAATGTAGGTAGTTCAGGAGGAATTGGGAGAGGAGGCTAATATTAATGATGCCCATGTGCATGGAAAGGTTTAGTATCTTAGTACAAGTGCTTTCGAATTTGGGTCGAAGATTTCGAAATAATTCGAATTCTCTGTAGGTTGAGCCTAGCAATGAGGTCATGGAAACAGATGCTGCTGCTTCTATGAAAACTCTACAGGACAAGGTAAATTCTGGATGCTTTGCATTCGAAATGCAGTCAATATCTTCGAAGTATTTAGAACATGTTTATTTACACTCTATTTGACTGTAAGTTGTTTCTCCCCAGAAGGAATTGGGAGACGAGGATGAAATTACTGATGCCATTGTGTATGGAAAGGTTTGGTTTCTTACTTCAAGTGCTTTCGAATTGGAGTCGAATATTTAGAAATAATTCACTTATCCTGCAGAGGAAGAAAAAGAAGTCAGCCAGTTTGAAGTCTCCATATACAGCAGACGGGAGGAAGAAAAAGAAAGCCGATGAGCTCTTATCTAAGCCGCCAACTAAAGGAGATCTTTTGGAATTTAAGAGCTTCATCGTACAAGCAATTAATGAGGATCGCCCTGTACAATGCTACCTCGAGCAGTACAAGCCTACAAGGAGCATCAGGAATTTGTTAAAACCTGGTGGACTGACCTTATCACTCCAAATCTTTGGGTAGCGGATACTGTAAGTTGCATTAACCTTTCATTCTTCGTACACAAACAATGCTTATATCTTTCGTTTTCTAATAACATACTACTTTTTTTGTTAACTAGCATCTGAGTGAGTACCTTTACGTCCTGAGAAGACTTTTATGCAATGACGATGGAGACTCTGTCATTGCGCCTTTTGAATTCACAACGTACGTTAACTCTTATGCGCATGACCCACAATTGCCTGTTTTGTCTGGACCCATTGAAAAGATTGTGGATGGTACATACAGCGAGGGGCAGGAAGCATTTAAAACCAAAGCCTAGAAAAAGAACACTAAGTACGTATATTATTTGAAAGGCACGGGTACACATTGGTTCTGTATCAAGGCTGACTTTGAGAGGTGCCGCCTCGTCGTGCTTGACTCCCTTTCAATGATAACTTTGAATGAGATCATGGCTCATTTGCTGATAGATGAACTTAGAGGGTTTAAAGGCATTGCTGGAATTACAGAAATCGGCAAGCACGGATATGCCAATTGGGAAATCGAATTCTGCCAGTACCCCAACAGAATGCGTGTGACTGCGACATCTTCGCGGTAAAAATGTTAGAGTTGGGAGCACAACATCAGGATTTTAAATCTTTGGAGAAGATGACAAAAGAAAAGATGGCCAATATGCGTTTAGAAATTGCTTACTACATATGCAAGGAGTACCATTGTAGAAACAAAAAATAAATTCTGTGGTGGATAAATATATTATTAATAAAATTGTGGTGGATACATATGATTTCACGGAATATCATATATTATTAACAGTATTATTAATTATGTGGTGGATACATATGATTGCATGTAATTGCATGGAGTTGCATGTAAACACGAGTAACTAATATTACGGGATTACATTCTAAAACTTGTTCATATAAAATTACATAAAAATCAATAATTCCATGAAATTAGCTCGGATCGATCTTTGAGTAATTTCTTTTTTATCTCTTCAATATTTCGGTCTCTACACAAGTTGCTGCCCCTGCTAGCATTCCCCTAGATCTGGAGATTGGGTTTGGCTTGCATTTGTAATATCCGTTTGTTCGATCAGACAACACCATGCCTCTGCACTAGCACGCATGCACATTTCGTCATCATGTGCTATAGTAGGGGAATGCGTTACCTGATCAAAAAAACCATTACGACCGTATTATCTGATCGAAAAACCATTAGGACAGTTAGAGAAAAACAACGTACTTGAAATATCCATTTCTATCAATCAATGAAAGAAAGGTAAGAAATTCTGATGTGGGTAAAGAAACAGGATTGTAAGATATGGAATACATTGATGAAGAATACTAAGTGTGTAGATAATGAAAACTGGATAAGTGATATAGGAGGGATATATGAATTAAAAAAGGAGGGGTAAGTGGAGTACTTATAAAGGTGATTGAATATGAGTGCAATTCGAACTGAATTTATTTCGGGTAGCTAAAGCGGTCAAATCAGCTTTTATTACTCTCGTTGATTTCTAAGAGTTCAGTGGGTTAAATGAGATTTAATTTCGGTCATTAATTTGAAAACTTAAATAATAATGTTATAATAATAATAATAATGTTATAATAATAATAATAATAATAATAATAATAATAATAGAAAGGGTCGTTGAATTAAATTACTTTTATTAAATAATATAATAATAAACAAATATCCAAAATGAATAATCTTTGACTGTCCCGACTAATATTTGAATGCATTTCGAATGGACTTTACTACGTAATTAGTGAAAAATTAAAATGGATGAAGATATGTGTGAGCGGTTGCATTCAATTCGGGTAGATAAAGAGTGGTCAAATCAGCTTTTATTACTCTCATTAATTTCTAAGATCTCAAGAAGTTAAATGAGATATAATTTCAGTCATTAATAATAATAATAATAATAATGATAATAATGATAATAATAATAATAGAGAGGGCCGTTGAGATAAACAGATATCCAAAATGAATAATCTTCGACTGTCCCGACTAATATTTGAATGCATTTCGAATGGACTTTACATAGTAATTAGTGAAAAATTAAAATGGATGAAGATATGTGTGAGCGGTTGCATTCAATTTGGGTAGATAAAGAGCGGTCAAAGTAGCTTTTATTACTCTCGTTAATTTCTAAGAGCTCAGGCAGTTAAATGAGATATAATTTCGGTCATTAATAATAATAATAATGATAATAATAATAATAATAATAATAATAATAATAATAATAATAATAATAATAATAATAATAATAATAATAATAATAATAATAATAATAATAATAATAATAGAGAGGGCCGTTGAGATAAACAGATATCCAAAATGAATAATCTTCGACTGTCCCGACTAATATTTGAATGCATTTCGAATGGACTTTACTACCCTTATTACATGGATCACATGATTGCATGGAATTGCATGGAGTTGCATGTAAATACGAGTAACTAAAATTACATAAAATTCAATAATTCCATGAAATTAGCTCGGATCGATCTTTGAGTAATTTCTTTTTTTCTCTTCAATATTTCGGTCTCTACACAAGCTGCTACACTGCTAGCACGAATTACGTACTCTTCGTTTGAATCAATGTTGCAGTAGTAAAGATGGGTTTTACTAGAATCCCAATCATCATGTGATTGCATGGAATTGCATCGAGTTGCTTCCCTAGAACACGACAATAATGTGCAGTGGAGTGGAGTGGAGAATGGTTGATTTTGTGTTGTTTCCTTGTGGAAAAATGACAATAACCACACCAATTGCTTCCCTACACGAGATAATGCAGAAGATGCCGTAGAGCATCTTCTGCAGTTTGGATAAAACGGATAATGGTATACGAAATAACCATTATGACCGTTTTGCCTTATCGAGATAACCATTAGGACCATTTTACAAAATTGAGTAAAACCATTACGAACGAGAGGTGAGAAGTTTTGATGATTGTAAAGAAATAGGCTTGTAAAATGTGGAATACATTGAAGAAAGTGTGTTTATAATCTGGAGAGGGTGCAATGTATTTATAGGGAGGGGGGCATATTTGAATGTTTGCATGTATTCGAAGGGATTTTAATTTGACTGATATTTGAATGGAAACGAATGGACTTTTACACCCTAATTAGTACGGAGTTATTAAATACATGAATGAAGATAAGTGTGAACGGTTGGCATCCAATTCTGGTAGATAAAAATATGTGTGAACGGTTGGCATTCTTAAATAAGATTTAAATTTCGGTCTTTACTATTCACTAACGCGAATAATAATAATAATAATAATAATAATAATAATAATAATAATAATAATAATAATAATAATAATAATAATACTCCCTCCGTCCATAATTAAAGTTCCCACTTTCCTTTTTTGGATGTCCACAATTAAAGTTCCCATTTCCTTTTTTGGTAACTTTTTTACATGAGAAAGACTTTATTACCCTTCCTACTCACTTTTCTTATTTCCTTTCTGTCAGTCCCCCACCATCCGCATCCTTTCTTGTTCTCTTCTTCTTCAGTTCTTTCTTCCTCTCTTCCTCTCTTTCTTTTCTTTTCTTTTCTCATCTCCTTATCTTTTCAATTCTATCATCTTATTTCTTTTCTTTTTATTCTTCTTCTTTTTCTTCTTTTTCTTTTTCTTCTTCTTTTTTCTTTTCTTTCTTTTTACCCTTTTGATTTAATTTTTCCTGCCACCCGTTCATTGGGAGGGAGGCGACGGTCGGAGGTATTGGCTGAGCAGCGGGGCGGTCAAAATTTTAGATATGCTCTTCCGCAGCTGTCAAAATTTCAGATCTGCTCTTCCGCAGCTGTCAAAATTTCAGATCTGCTCTTCTGCATCCATTATAATCTCGAATATGCTCTTTTACTGGGTGGGAATTGGGGAGGGGATGAGGGAAACAAAAGAAAGAGATTTAATCCACGATGGTTCCGGAGAGTCGGCGGTGGCGGTGCTAGAGAATCATTGTCGCCGGTGCCGGAGATTCGTCGGCAATGATGTTGGCACGAAGATTGGATGGCTCATGGTGGTGGATGATGTCGGCAGGGACAAAGGGTGGGGTCATGCTAGTGGATAAGGCAGAAGGCTAAGGGGGTTTGGGGGTATAATAGGAAAGTCAACATAATTTTTATCACACATTAATATGCGCGCCGGGTCAAACCGGGAACTTCTTTTTTGGACGGAGGGAATAATAATAATAATAATAATAATAATAATAATAATAATAATAATAATAATAATAATAATAATAATAGTAATAATAATAATAATGTTAATAATAATAATAATAATAATTCAATATTATTGGAATAAAATTTCGATTCTTTCGACTACATTTGGAACGTATTCGAAGACATGTATGAATTGTGTGTGCACGATTTACATTTAATTGGCGTAGACGAAGAGTGGTCAATTCAGATTTTATTACTCTCGTTTATTTATAAGTTTTCATTAGCTTAAATTGAATGGAATTTCGTTCATTAAAAAAAAATACTAAAATCAGCAAAATTGAGGAATAAAATTTCGATCTAAAATCAAAAAAAATTGAAGAATAATATTGAGGAATTAATTTCGGAATTTTGATCATTTCGACCACATTTGAATTTATTCGAATGCATGTTATAAAATAAGAGATTACACAGTACAGAATGCGATCAGGCATCTTTAAAAGTTTTCTGTAGGTTAAATGAGATTTAATTTCAGTCATTAATTTGAAAACTAAAATCAGCAACATTCGACCTTCTCGACGAGTATTTGACCACATTTCGAATGGGACTATTACACCCTAAAAAAGAATTCTTGTTTTATAAATTACGTTACTTTCAATGACTAATGGAAGTTTATAATAAAAAGAGCAGTGAAAGGAAATTATGGTGCGAAGTGAAAGTAGAACAATAATCTGAATTTTAATATAAAAAGTTTTTATTAGAAAATACATAAAATCAAACTTCAAATACGCATAAAAATACCCTTATGCGTATTTCAGGATATGGATGAGAAAATCACAACCACCAAGATGTTCAAAAAATAGGACATGACTCTCATTTAGGCCGTGATTCTCAACAAACGCTGGCCATGATTCCCTGAAGAACATATTGCCATGGCTGCATGCTTGAACCTTTACTTTAAAAGTGTGTGGCGCTAGTTTGGAATGGAGAGTCACAACTGTGTTATCCGGGAAACAAAATTGAACATGTCGGGGTAGCACCTACAACAGATCCAAAGAATTTGTGAGTTATAAAATATAACTTTAAAAAAAATTAAGAAAATATAATTAAAAAGGTATGAACAAACCAGTAGCTCTTTGAACTTGGGATCTTGCCCGAGGATTACTGTAAAATCGAACATAATGATCTTTTTTATTTTCGCACTCAATACGGAACAGAAGAATGATAAAACCCTAAAGCTAGTTGCGTATTTATATAGACCGAGCAAGGCGGAAAGGGACGAAAATGGTAATAGACGGGAATTTTAGAAGAGTCCCGCCATTTCATGAATAGGCGGGACGGGAAAATTTAGTCCGCCATTTCATGAAGGGATGGGAAAATTAGTCCGCCATTTCATGAAAAGGTGGGACGGGAAAATGTAGTAGATGTAGCAATCCAACTAAGAGTTTAACTGTAGCAATTATCTTCGGACTTCGAACCGTGTTAATGAGGAATATTATAAATAAAAGCAGTAAAAATCTAGCGGTAGTCGTACCTGTTGGTGTTAACAATTAAATTCAGACCGTAGTGGATGTAGCAGTCCAGTTAAGAAGATAACTGTAGCAAGGTCGTACCTGTTGGTGTTAAGAATTAAGTTCAGACCGTAGTTGAGGTAGCAGTCCATTTAAAAGGATAACTATAGCAAGGTTGTACCTGTTGGTGTTAAGAATTAAGTTCGGACCGTAGTGGATGTAGTAGTCCAGTTAAGAGGATAACTGTAGCAAGGTCGTACCTGTTGGTGTTAAGAATTAAGTTCGGACCGTAATGGATGTAGCAGTCCAGTTAAGAGGATAACTGTAGCAGTAGTCGTACCTGTTGGTGTTAACAACTAAGTTCGGACTGTAGTGGAGGTAGCAGTCCATTTAAGAGGATAACTGTAGCAAGGTCGTACCTGTTGGTGTTCATAATTAAGTTCGGATCGTAGTGGATGTAGTAGTCCAGTTAAGAGGATAACTGTAGCAAGGTCGTACCTGTTGGTGTTAACAATTAAGTTCGGACCGTAGTGGATGTAGCCGTCCAGTTAAGAGGATAACTGTAGCGGTAGTCGTACCTGTTGGCGTTAAGAATTAAGTTCGGACGGTAGTGGATGTAGCAGTCCATTTAAGAGGATAACTATAGAGGTA